CACCATCTTTAAAGACACTGCATTTGGGACAAATCCAGAGAGCATTTTGATATCCAGGATCACCATGTTGGTAGTATTCTCCTTTCCACTGTACCTGTGTTCGAACAGTTAAAAAGTGATTGCACTGATGTGTATCCATAGATGCCACATTTCCAACACTTATCGCACAGTGGTAAATAAAATTCCCCTAGCACATATCTAATCTGTTAAATACTTACAGGGATTTTATTGTCAGAGTGAGCTTGCGTCTGGATTCACTTGTTGCATCAACCTCTGATTTGACCTCCACGCTGAGAGTAGTGACATCAGTGGGACTCGGGATGTTGTAGTGAACAGAAATCTGCGAAATAGTCAACCAAAAGAGGTTTGCAGTTTATAATAATAGTAATAAGAAGAAGAATAGAAATCTGTTTATGTTTTTATGTTTATGTTTTGCATTTATGTTCAAAATATAGTGGCGTCACATTTTAGGGGACTGATTACAGTTATGAAATTATTTTGGTGGTTATGGCCAGAATATTATGTACACTAATTGTGGGCAGAAATGTCATCTTGATTTGGAGCTTCTTTCATCAAAATATTTAAAAATGAGATAAAGGCTTGGACCCGAGGAGGGATCTGGAAATAGAACTACTGGTTATTTACTTAAAATATGCCAGCTAAGATGGTGCAGGCATGTTTGCAGGATGCCTTTATGACCCTACCCTCTGGAGATTTTCCAGGCAAATCCAACTGCGAGGATACACACAGTGTAGCTACACCTTCCTGGAGATATTATACATGTCATCTGGCCTTAGTGAAATCCATGATGAAGAACAACGACAACAACAACAAGAAAAAAAATGCATAGGAGGAAAAGGAATGTTTGAAATCATTTCCTTAGTGGGAAGCCACTGCATCCTGAATTTGGATAATTTGAGCAAATACACAGATGGATAAGCAAATGTGCTTTTCTGAGTGAAATCACATTTTTTCATTATACTTCTGTATTTGGAAAAAGCAACAAGCAGGATACTGTCACTGACCTGCACTGACACACATGCAGTGCCCTTCACCTCCAGGCTGTATCTTCCTGACACGCCCTGCATCGTCTCCTCCCGGTAGAGCAGTTTGTTGCCCGGATTTACATCAAATGTCAGCTGACTGCTGTCAGACTGAACTGTCACTGTGCTTGAACCCTCAGGACTGAACACCAGAGTGGAGTAGAGAGCCAGAGCCTGAAGAGCCACCACTGTGTCCTACAAACAAAATCACAGCTACTACACATACTTACATATATATTTATATTTTTGTATTTTACAGGACAAGTAAAACTTCAGTATTCAGCTTCTCTCAAATTAGTTTTTATTTATCCCAGTTTATATGAACTCAAAGGTGAGATTTAAGCTGTTTGGGTGGTGTAGCACCTGAGTGGAGGAGAAGCCTCCATAGTAGTTCTGCTGGCCAGTCAGCCACCTAATAATGCCAGAGGCATAACCCAGGTCATCAGCAGTTGTGGAGGCACTGAGTTTGGCCAACAGCACATAAGAACTAATTTCCACTGACAGGGAGGCTGATGTTTCTGCTGCTGTCTGAGACCAGTACAGGAAACCTCCTACAAACATACAATAAAAGTTACACTTATGGTAATAACACCTGAATGATTTCCTGTTAGATGGTGACTCACCTTCCCTCACTGCAACTGTGTCTAAGTGCTGCAAAAGGTGAGTGCGGGTCTCCGTGTCTCCTGCCAGGGTGAAGACATAGGCCAGCAGAGCTGTAGTGTAGGTGTTGCTGAGGTCATTGATGGACTCCCTGAGACAAGCCAAGCTATTATTCACCACAGGATCCTTTAAAAGATCAAAAGAAGAGCCCTATGAAGACAAACTATTGACCCTGCCCAGGACAGGACATACGCTGTTACTCTCTTTTATTCAATTGCACAATACTATGTCACTTTTTAGAATCACCTGCACTGATAGCTAAGCTATTTATTTTTCAGGATATAGTTATATTGTTACTTTGTTAGATTTATTTGATATTATATTTTGCACTATCCTACTGTATATTACTGTATACTACTATTCTTATTGTATATATTGTATATCTTATTCCTCTGTTCCTTTGTCTCTCTTGCAGCATTGAGCATGTGTATGACAAAAGAATTTCCCTCAGGATAAATAAAGTTCTTCTTATCTTATCTTATCTTATCTTATCTTATCTTATATCACCAAAGTTGATCATTTCCTTTATGTAATTATTTGTTTAACTTCATTTTCATGACTGGAAATAGAAATTATGCTTTAACATATTTCCTTTTCACCTACAGACAGAAAGTATCGACGTGAGTGACTTAGAAATCTATCATAAAAATGTATTTTTAAAATGAGGGGAAAATGGATGTCAAAAGAAGAAAATGAAATAAACATATACAAGTCGGTGTTGTATTTTTTTTTTACATTTTCCAAATTTGATTACATCACTCAAATGTACTCACATGTTGGGACATATTCATTTCCAAGAAAGCAGCAGTGATGTATGCACTGAGAGTCACTTCATCAGACACACCACCCTGGTGAGTGAAACCAAGTTATTTCTGTGTGCTGCCAGAATTTCTCTCCACACAGAATTAGTGTCCAGCTAAAGTATAGACTTACCTTCATTCTGTTGTTGAAGAGTTCGCCTGACTTTTTAAAACAGCCATTTGTTTGTTGTTTATTTTCCAGCCATGTCTTAGATTCTTGAATGATTTTTGGATCAATGTAGACAAAAGACTGAGCTTTGGCAAAACTTCTCATCACAAAAGCAGTCAGCCTGACATAAAAACGCACCCAAAAGAAAACTTCCTCATGTTTCGAAATTATATCAAAATGTGTCACAGTTATGCCATTATAATGTGAGTTGATTTTCTCCATGTCCAGAAATAAAATGATAATAGGACGGGAGATTTAAGGAGTAAATTTCACCAACAGGCTCAGTTTTGTTTCTGAGGCAAATGGAATATAAGGTAATTATTATTTTCACCAAGTGTTTCCTGGTCCTCTTCCAAATGTGGTGTATGCGCCTTCATCACTTTTGTAGTTCAGCTGTCTTTGGTAACCTGTAACAACAGGAAAATGACTCTTAAATAGATATTCTATTCATAAACCTTTGATTTTAGTCTCACTATGAAACAAACACACTCGCCACTGGTCAGGAAGTTCGCAGCTTTTTCCATGATAGCTGGGGTGAGCTGCTGTGTGCCTTTCAGGTACTGGAGGATGTAGATGTTGGGGGCTAGAAGAGCCATGTTCTGCTCTCCACATCCATATGGCATCCGGAGCAGTCCATCCAAGTTCTTCAGAGCCCGGCCGAGGATGTCACCTGATCAGAGGCACTCAGTCACTGAGACAGAACATACAACGTTCGAACACTTGAACTGCAAATAGATTAAAACTAGTAAAGAAGCTAAATATTTAGAAAAATACAGCAGGTTATAAAAAACTGTATATACTAAATTATAATATTTTGCACTTTGTTATTGGAATGTAGTTTCTAAACTATTTTCTACACTACAAAACTGTTGGAGTCTCATTTAATAGCGTGTTTCAAAACCAGGCAAAAACAATGCCAGTCTAGTTGTATTTGTCTTTTATATTAATTCACTATTGATTGAAAAAATAAACTTCTTATATTTATTTCTGGATTAATCTAAACTCATTTAATTAAAAATGATCAGGTTTACCCAGGACTGATACAAAAGTGCGGGCAGATCCTTCAATCACATTCTCAGGCAGCTGTATCTCAGTTTCCTCTGTCAGTGTGTCTCCTGTGTACAGACAAACAATCACCATACAGAGAGAAGCTTAATCAGAATGTCAGTACCAAAATAGTTTCAAATCAGCAGGTAGTCACAGCATCATGAACTGTAACAGGTCATATGAGAAATCAGACACCTATAATTAAACCTATAAGCACAAAAAATATTATTAAAACAATAACAACAACAACAACAACAACAACAACAATAAGAGTACTATGAGTGTGACCTAATATTTCCACACAGATGTGTCCAGACTGACTCTTACCAAGCGTGTCAAGTTTGTAACATAGTGTATATATGCGATATAACTATAAATATCTCATATATAGTTGAGATATACTGTAACAACTAAATGTCCTGTGGGGAATTATCAAAATTTGGTGTGACACCCACAAACACTCTTCAACAAAAACTCAAAACTGGAATGACTACGTGGCACACATCTTTAATGACTTTAAAAAACAAGACTTGGGTACACAAGAGATTGTGTCTAAATGTCGAGCCAGAATTAGACCATTAGTTTGTTGATGACTACCAAAGGCATGTGGTCAAGGTGCAACTTGACAAGGGATATTTAGCTGTCATGGTTCTGAGTCATTTTGACCCAGTGCTTTTGTTATTGTGTATTGTGGTCTATGTTTTAGGTACATTAGTAGTCTTAAGTTTAGTCTGTTTGTCCATTTAGTCTCGCTTTGTGTTGTTGTCATGTGTGTTCCTGTCTGTGTGTCTGTGCTTATGTGAGTTTGTGTGTCTGTGTGTGTGTTTTGTTTGCCCTCCTTGTGTTTCATTCCATCTTGTTTATCCATGTTCCCCTTTCTCTCATCCTCTTTGTCTCTTGTGCTCTCTCGCCCTCTCTTGTTTCCTCGCTCACTCTCCTCTGACTTTCTCCCACTCCTGTGCCAAGCTCGTATGTCAGTCTTGCGTTCCTTTGTTTCCCGTTTTATTTTGACAGTCTCACGTTTCCATGTTCGGTGTGTTTAGTTTTGCATCCCCTGTGGCGTCATGTTTATTTGTGTCAGCTGTGTTCCCCGTGTATTTGGTTGGTGTATAAACCACACCAACCTTTTGGACAAAGCAGCCAGTTGGATGTCTTTGTCATCTCAGTCCCCTCAGCCTGAGAAAAAACAAGTTACAGTTTCACCTTCGTGAGAAAACAAGTTTTCAAATGCAGAATGTTTTTCATCTTGTGTTAATGGCACCAACCTTTACTATGAAGGATTTTGTGACCACATCAATGCGGCCTCTCTCTGGTACTCTCACAACCTCATTATCACATGAAACATGGGATGGCACTGCCTCAGCAGACACAGTCACATTCACAGCCCCTAAAAAAGGACAACAAACATCATTTTTCTCAACCCTGTAAAGTCTTGCACATTAAAATATTGTTAATTAGATCATCTCACTGATTTTGTAGATACTGAAAAGAGAAGAGGCATTGACTGAAAGGACATTTACACCGGTGTGGATAAAAACTTGATCCTTACCTAAAACTGTTGGAATCATGGTCCAGCTCACAGTCTTGCGCTCCTTAGCACACAAACAGGATGTGTACTGCTCACCGGAAAGAGGGGTGAGGGTATAATCTGAGGAAGGCGTAGAAAAGACTGTGACCTGCACAAAGAACAAAACAGTGGGTTGAGTTTCTAAGTAAAAGAGGAATTCAGTGTTTTCTTGTTACTCTGTGAGGACAGAATACTTTCAGCTTTTGCTTCATTCACCAAGAGTCACTTCACATGTTTTGATTTGGTATCATTTTGCACTGAATATCCTTCCTGATACTTGATAGGGAAGTGTGTACACCACTAATGTCATGGTACTGGCTCTTCAACCCAGTTTTTTTTTTTAGTTATGCTCTGGAATTATTTATTTGTTTGAAAGACCTTGGACTGATGTTCAGAGTTTTTATTAGTTAGTTTTGAGTTCCGGATTAGACTTGTGTTTCTGTGTTATTTTTAGTTCTCACCTCTTGTTCAGTCGTGTTTGTTCCCCTTTTTGTCCAGTCTGTCACTATCTTGTCTCTGTGCCTGGTCATCAGTGTCAAAGTGTTTTTTGGTCTCTCTGGGTTCTGTCTCAATGGCTGTCTGTGTTCCTTATCTAATGTAGTTGATATGTCTATTTTTCTGCAGTCCCTCTGTTACTTCCTGTTTTATTTTGATAGTGTCTTGTCTCATGGGTATGATGTTGACTTTTGCTTCCTTTGTGTTATTAGTTTTGATTCAAGTCAGCTGTGTTTCCACGTGTCTCCACTTCCCTTAATCACCCTTCTATTCCCCACTGCATCGTCCTTCATTGTGGATGTATTCTATTAAATTAGTGAATTTCTATCCTGTCCAGTCAAATAAAGCTGAGATTTTGAGTTTTATTCTGTCTGATGAGTCCTGCATCAGGGGCCACTTCATAACCATCTGCAAAGTCTATCAGCATGCTAACATTTGTTGACATTTGTAATTTTTGATATAGAAATATTGATCACCATGATGCAGCTGGTCAGGTAGCTGAAGACAGTTGCCTTCAGTTCAAAGTGCTCCCCACGGATGATGGAGTAGGGCATGGTGAGCTCGAGGAAGAAGGGCTGGAAGACCTCAACTTCTTGACGAGGAGCCAAACCAAAACCCTGAGAGGACAAGCAGAAAGCCTCCGTCTCCCAGGTCGTGATGGTGTCAGGGACAGTGAGGGACACATCCTTTGATCCAGACTCTCTGAATCAGCAGATTCAAAATATGCACATTGTCAGGTGGTGATTACACAGATTAGCCAACAAAAACATGCAAAGACAGACAGACAGACAGACAGACAGACAGACAGACAGACAGACAGACAGATAGATAGATAGATAGATAGATAGATAGATAGATAGATAGATAGATAGATAGATAGATAGATAGATAGATAGATAGATAGATCGATCTCCAAAAACTAAGACATACCCAACTTCCACCAGGTCCCAAATCCAAGTCTCGGGGAAGAAAGCACGGACAGTTTTCATCGGTCCTTCTGATGGACCTAAAGATCCTCCAGAGTAACTTGAACCCGCTTGTAATTTAGAATCATAAAAAAAAAGAAAAAAAAAGAAAGAATAAAAACTAAATACTTAATCAGAATGAATAAGAAGGTGTAACACACTGCTTTGGTTTTGGGAACTTTTTTATGATTTGGAATTTGCAAAGTGAATCAAAACAAAAATATCACCTAAGGGCATGAACTCGTATTCTCTTCCCATGAAACTCAGACATGAAGGAATTTCGAGCAGCAGGTTTGTTGCCACCTTTAATCCTACTCTCTAGACACACAAACATCACAGAGTTAATTGCAGCTAAAGCCATGAAAAGCATTATATTTATCATCAGCTGATATGCTCTGGAGTTTTACTGTTAGCTGGATGCAAAATCTGCAGATGGAATGCTGTTGTAACTATACCAAGTTCACCAATGCTGCAGAGAAGGACTATTGTTTGTCATATATTACATAGTGCAGTAGAATATTATTTATTTATGCAACTATTAAGACTCACCTTATGTGGAACATTTGAAACAGTCAAGGTGCGAGGCCAACATCAAGAAGCTGGATCCATGGATCCAGTGAAACACACAACACATGCTCATGGAAAATATTTATATATTACCTGAAAAGCAATGTAGGCTTCATTATCTCCTTTAGGTGAACTATATCTTCTTGTTCTCACTTTCAAGCATTTTCTTGGTTCTCGTAGCCGATATGGGAAATAAGATGCTTTCATGACAGGCAGCAAGTTAAATATCTAAGAAAAAAAATGGTTCAAAGAAGTTCAAACAATTAAGAAAATCAGATTAAAGATCTGTACTTATATGAACCACATATGTAGTATTTACAAATGATCAGATCACTATTCAATGTAAGGTTTATACCACAGCTGTCCTAAATGAACAGGATTGGTAATTACCAAAATCAATTTTTATGGTTTTGTAATTCTCAGGACTGTGTGGAGAAGAGAGAGAGTGGACCCAAAGGCAGACTACGGAGACAGACTTGAATTTTTAACAAACGTGAGCCTTTTATTCTTGGCTGTACAAATAACAAACAAAAAGCAAATGGAGATAGAGATGAAACTAACAAGACCTAAACTGGGGGAAAAAAAACCAACCACTAAGTACCTGGATGTGAAGAAAAATAACATGGAACGTGAAGCCCTAAGCCATTAAAACCAAGACCAGAAACGTGAGTGGCGAACAGAGAAACCGACAAGTGACAAAGGGAAACTCAAATTATAACACACAGCAGGATGATCAGGGAAGTCGAAGCAGCTGGGGAACATATCAGACACACATCAGGAACTAATCAGACATAACAGGTGTGGAGATCAGGGAAATTATTTTACTGCTATTGTTAATAATCATCATCATTACCATTGCATTAATAATATAATCTACAGCATTGATATTGCATTCAGATGTTTAAACATATTGGCTTGGGGTTGCAAAAGAGCAGTTTGTTGCAGAACTGCTGCTGATGTATCAAGACGATAAGCGAGCGTCCGGCAGTAACAGGAAGCACTTGCTGTGAAGACGAAGACAATGTTCTTTTTAAACTGTGTTAAAAGTCATTGTGGTTTTGGAACCTATGTATGAAGTGTATCTGTGACGTTGAAGGGGCGTCATTAAATTCAAACCCTGATGGTATAAAATATCTGCTTATGCTTTGATTAGTCGGAGATCAGCACTGTCTGCGAACGGCGCTGGTCCCCCCACGCGTGTATTTCATTAAAATCAATTGTTTGACCAAGCTCTTCTGGACCATGGTTGTTTTTACTCTCCTTCCTCAATATTTGAACCTTAACACAGGACAGGGGAAGCAAGAGACTGTCAAAATAAAACAGGAAGCACAACAAACATGGAGATGAACACTAAGACACGCAGGATTAAAGCTGTGACCGGGGGAGAAATAGACATGGGGACATAACTGACTGGGGGGACCGAGAGAGAACACAGATCACGAAGAAAAGAGTAACTAAGTGAGAGGCGTGGAACACAGGGAAAACACAGAATAAGAAAATTAAAGACAAGAAACTATAAATATAACATAAGTGTCCTTCTACTAGTGTCCTTCTATCGAGCCACAATCGAGAGTGTGCTGGTGCACGCCATCTTCGTGTGGTACGCTGGTTGCACAATAGCCGATAAGAAGAGACTCCAGAGGGTCACCAGAACTGCAGAGAAGGTGATCGGCTGACCACTCGCCCCCCTGGACTCCATTGCCAGCTCTAGATGTCTCTCCAGAGCCAGGGCTATCTTAAAAGACCACCTCCATCCTAACCACCACCTCTTCAACATCCTGGTTCAGATCCATCAGATGCAAAACCAGCAGACTAAAGAACAGCTTCTACCCGTGGGCTGTCAGAACCATTAATGCAAATTAAGAGTGTGAACAGACTTCATTCGGTCGCTGCTTTTGACTCTCTTGTTGCCATTCCCTATGCAATATTTTGGTGTTTCCTTTTTCTGTGCAATATTTTGGCCCCTGTGCAATATTCTAGCAAATGTGCAATTACCACCCCATCCTTAATGACCACAGCCGTTCCACTGTTATTTATTTATTATATTATATTATTGCCCTTGTACATACCCCCACAAGGTTTCTGTAACTCATACACCGTGCATATAGTGTACTAATATTGCTGAACTTATATTGTTTTTCTTCTTTGAATATTGTTTTCTGTACTTTTGCACCTTTGTGGTCTTGCTACCTAATTTTGCCGTGCAAGCAGCTGCACAATGACAATAAAAAAGTTCTAAGTTCTTCCAAGTTCTAAGCAGAAAACAACTGAGAGAACCAGAACCATGAATGACACTAAATATAAGAATATTAATTAAACCCAAAAACACATAAACACTGGGTCACAGACCCAGGACCATGACAGTAATGGTTATTATACCAGTATGAACAAGCTCTTTAATCAAAGTATTTTTAATGCTAAAATATAAATACTATTGTTATCTCTGAAATTTTTTTTAATAAACTCCCAGAGAGCAGCCATTTGGCTGGTAGGCTTTTAGCTAAGCTTTAGCTTCAGCCAAGTGGAAGCTAAATTGGCTAGTCATTCATATGTATATTAGGTTGTTACCTGGGAATTCTGGAGGGAGGGGAGTGGGGGTGTGTGATTGAGGGGGTGGGGGAGCTGCTAAAAGCTGTGCACTTCCTTTTGTGTTTCAT